CTTCCCCATGACTGGCTGTGCTTTTCATGGTTGCAATTACTCATGGTCAACCAAAGTCTGAAAATATTAAATGAAAACTAGAAAAAAATTTCAATTGTGTACCATCTGAGCATCATGATGAAATCTCATGCCATTCTGCTCCATCCTGCCCAGGATGTGACTCATCCCTTGTCCAGTGCATCCATGCTGTGTACTCATTAGTTATTTACTAGAGTTTGGTATTATCCAAAATTTTAGGCATCTACTGAGGATTTTGGAATATGTCCCTTACAGAGAACAGGAGACAGATGTTTGGATATCTCTTTAAAAATACAATTTCCTACACAGTATTTCCTTTATTTCTTCTAATAAGTATCTTGTAAGAGGCCAGAACTCTTACATCCTTAGTATCAAACCTATTCTTAAAAATCATTTCCTATAACCTCACTTTTCTTTCCAGAAACTGATGAAGTCCCCCAAACCTTCAGTCTGCTCCTTCGACCTCAAGTTCTGAGGAACCCAAGAGTTTCAGTCTTCCAAGCCCTGTGGCCACAGAGTCTCTGGGGGAAATTCTCAAATTCTTTTAAACTCTTAAAAGAGGAACAACAACTATGGAGAAGTCACGTGCCTTGGTGGGACAGGAGGCTCCCGGACAGGGTGAGGATTCAGGTACCACCTGGCTCCTGCAGCCTTGTGGGCAGGGTCCCTTCCAGCAGCACAGGCAGCCTTATGCCCATCCTGTACTTGAGCTACACCCTTACTGAACCCTGGAGACTTTCCTTTTTGGGCGGGGCGGGGGGGGCAGTACAGAAAAGGATCAGAGTTCAAGTAAGAAATGAGAGCAGTCAAAAAGGACACAGTTGCTCTGGTACTGTGTACACCATTGAAAAAGAACACTCCGACACTTAAAGGTAAACTTAGCATTTTTATTAAAGAAGCTGACAGTTTGCATGGTAAATATTGTCTGTGTAGGAAATATCAAAATTGTTTCTATCTCAAAAACTGCAAAACAATTTTAGGTTCAGGATACACTCCCCTTACCTTGCTGCCAACACTTTATTTTTAATTTGAATTGCTCAGTGTCATCTGAAAAGTGCTGGTTTATGGTCTCATAGGAAACTCCTGAAGTCCCATTAGCTGGCATAGTCTTGGGCCATGGAATCCCTCCATGCTGTTTTGCTCAGTTCCCTGCAATGCTGATGTCCACGCAGCCACCACAGCAAATGTGCCCCCAGGAAGTCCCCCTACCTGGGCTCCAGGTGAGTGATCTTGGTTGGCCAGAGCCTGTGATATAACACATTACCATAACATCTGCAAAAAAAAAAGTTGCCTCTTGACACAACACTTAAAACGACAGTTGCAAAGATTGGCCATGATTTCTTTCAGGTGTTCAGTGTTTGCCTCCTTAACTCTGAAAGGGAAGCTTACCTGTAGCTGTAGATGGCCACAACTGGCCTTGCTGAAGGACACAGCAATGTGCCCAAATTGAACCATTCTCTCCATACAGGTTCTGGTTTCTTATGATCTTAGCTGAGGTGGTCCTCATGTAAGTCCCAGCACCCTAACAAGGTGGGAGGCTCTACAAAGTTCCAGCCAAGGCTGCTATTGTGGAGAAAGGTGGACACAGGCATACAGGTCAATCTTCATGCTGAAGATAGGAGGGGTTGCAGGCTCCCTGCTGCGTGTGCACCTCAGAGCCACTCTCACTACACCTTGTTCATAGCCACAGAGGTACTGGTGTCTTAGGACTTCCCGGACCAGCCCTCCAGTTGCAAGGACAGCTAAATACACTATGTGTGAACATGCTTGAAGGCAAGAGAGGATCTGCTCACTGCTCTGTCTGGGGAAATGCTTTCTTATTTAAGTAGAAATTATGCTTCCCTTTTAATTTTCCTCTTATATATGAGGAATTTAGCTAAGTCTTGCTCTCAGACATATTCAACTAGATTTCCACTCAAATAAACGGGTCTCCTGGTGGAAATGAATCCTTCATGGAGGGTTGCTGGAAAAAAAATAACAAACACACTTACACCAATACTCCTCATGGAGCATCTATGCTTTGAAGAAGGGGTTGTTAGTATTAGCTTTTCTCAGCTTGGGTTTTTCAACATTCTGAGGTAAAGGTTACAGAGGAAAATTACTGTCCTGAGTCATCTATGCAGCCTAACATTCTTTTTATTTCTAGGCTCTGTGGTCCAGACTGGAGGCAGCTGTGAGCAGATGTGGGCACTGAAGGCCTAGGGTGGAGGGATGGGGGCAGGCAGTTGCTGGGTGATGCATGCCCAGATCTGTGAGTACACATGTATGTGTGTACACTGGAAATGACAGAAGACCTTGATATCCAGTGCACAATGCAATCCCAGTTCACACTGATGTTGGGTAACAACTCATGCTTGCTAGCTGACTTGCCCACTCCTTGCCAGAGACTGGGGGATCATGGAATTCCAATATGCACCAAGGGAGAAGACATAAACAGAAACCATCAGCATGTTAAGCTTCATAGTGATTTAGAGCAACAACTTTCCTCTAGCTTCTAGTGAGACTTCATTCACGACTATGTAAATTTTACAAATTTTAATAACTGGCAGATTACTACTCAATACATTCTCTCAAACTTAAAGAAATCAGCAGCTAGGAGTTGCTACAGAACCATGAGTACCTAAACTCAACAATGGCTGCTTTGTTCTAGGAAAATAACCTGAAGGGAGAAATTCCTAGAAGTGTGAGGCTATCTCAGCTCTTAGCAGTTACCATCAGCGTACCTTGTCACCTGCATATTGGGCAAGACATACCACAACAACACCATAAATCTCTAGTCCCTGATCACCATTGATCATCAGTGGCTACTGTGATAGATTCTCCTGCAACATTTTAATTCTTGTATAGAAACTTCAAAACCAGAGATCTGATGTTTCCAATTAGAAAGTTAAAAAGAGAAAAGAAGTTTACACATTTTATGATACATGATTTTATTTACACAACTGAAATTATTTCCTTAGTCACCTTGATTACAAAAACAAATTAACATGGTATGGTTTAATAACCCTTCTTAAATGGATTTTACAAATTTTAATAGCTGACAGATTGCTACTTAATACTCAGTAATATTTAATACTTAGTCATTGCTACATAGATGTATATGAAAATTCTGTCTGATGGGACTAATAAGTATGGGTACTTTTGTAATTCAGGAACAGACAGAGAAGTGGGTTATAAGTCAAGTGTTCATTCCCCACTCCTTGGTTAGCTGTTTAGACCTGGAGCTCTCATCTCATGAGAACAAACTTGCTGTAGCAATTTATACTAACTGCATAGGCAAAATTAATAATTTGAGAGTTTATCTTATTTCTGCATTTAATAAGACTATCATTAAGTTCATCTGAAAATCAAAAGTTTATCATGACTAGAGATATTTGTAAAAGAACTTATCACAGTGTATCTGAAAAATGGCCCAAACTAAAGCCACTTTACATGTCCAAATAAGCATTGTCCAGCTCCCTGACTGGATGTGTGTGTGTGTGTGTGTGTGCGTTGGATGTGTGTGTGTGTGTGTGTGCGTTGCACAGCACAAGCACACGCACACACACACACACACACACACACACACATACACACACACTCCATAAGGCTTTATCCCTCATCTAAGCTTGTTGGCCACACAAAATGCCTCCTTTTACTGCTTTTGTGAAATGCCTATGAAATACAGTATTTTACTGAGACTATTAAAAGTCCTATCACAGTGCTTTAAGTTTGAAGACCAGGCAGTGTTTTGGTAATATGATCCTTTCCTGTGAACTGACAGCCCAAAGAGCTGGAACAGCCAAAAGAGCTGCTTAGACTTCCTAAGAGCCACCCCCAAAAGGCTTGAGGAGCACTGAGTGTCTTGTGGTCACAGCCAATAACGGAGAAAGATAGGAACCTTATGTATGAGTCATGGTCAGAACTGAAGAAACCAAAATGTTTGCTACAGCAGCAAACACAGGAAGGGCCTATCCACGTGCCTTCTTGCATGAGCTCTGTAAGAGCCGAGACACTGTCTTTCCACATCACACTTGTAATGGAGGTACAGCAATCCTTGGTCTTTGCCAGTGCTACTCCTAACACAACTTGCTGAACTATCCCTTTAGGAGTGAGCCAGTAAGATACAATAAAAATGAGACAAGTCCACCTGCTCCTAATGCAGAAGATGAGCACTGCTAGGATGCCAGGGGTAGCATTCATAGCACAAGGCCTCTGCTGCCAGCCATCCTGGGACTGGAGACCACTCCATTCCATCCTGTTCTGGTCAGGGATAGTTGTCACTCAGTACTGAACATGTGAGGGCAACACGCAATCTGAGCCTACTTCCCTAAGCCACCACGTACATAGCAAGGACAGCATCAAATCTCTCCATTGTGCTAAATCTAAGAACCATATTAATCATGATAAAAACTAAGTGTAATCTTAAAAAAAGGCTACATGATTGTAAAAAACTATTCTCAGGGTCTTATCGCTGAGCCAAGGCCCATCCATAGTCCCCCTTTTCTCCCCTTTCAGCCTTGTTAAGCTTTGACACCATCTGGCCCCACCAGGCTCTCATTCTGAACGAAGACAGGCCATTCTGGCCAGTTTTTTCCTACTTCCCTTGTGTGTGTGTGTGCTTCATGTTTAAACCTTGTTGCATTGTTTGGTGGTGGCAACCAGAAAAATCAAACAGTTCAGGTACAATTTCTTCTACAAAGTAGTAAGTGGCAGACCCACACATGTGGTTTACTGACGGACACAGACCTTTGGTTTGGTGCCAAAGGGAAAGGCGTACTTAACCACCAAGACCAGAGCACTCATCCAGTGGGGAAGGTCTGCTGGGAGGGAAAATCACTGGCTATTGGAAACCAGTTAAAACAAACTACCGAATACGAGTCTGCCACCTGGAAACTGGCCTTGGCTGGACCAGTGTGATGTGCACAAAGAAGGGCCGGTGGACTTTGCGTTCTCGGCATGTTTCTTCCCCTTGTGAGTCCGTTACCTTTCACAAAGAAATGTTAACTATCAAACGTGTCCATTAATTTTGCCGCTGAGGGTGAAACCATCCAGTTAGCATATACACTATCATTTGCATATCTTGGAAACCCAGTGCTAGTGCCATCGGCTCTCGTGAGTGGTACAGGACTCTCTCCAGGCCAGTTCGGGTCTGACATGCCTAAAAATGAAAACAGATAATTTGTTCTGCACTGAAGAACTCAAACTTCATGTGCAGACAGTAAGGCCTTGGCAAAACTCCCTTTGATGTTCAAACCAAACTCATACTTTCTGGGCCAATTGCGTTCCTGTTTTGGCATTCCAGGTTTCCAACACACTTTCTATTTAGGGGAAAGATCACGTGCTCTCTTGGTAAATGTAATTTAGCAGGCATTACCAATTTTGAGTTTAACAAGCTTTAGACTCTCAAATCTGATGTCTATTTGTTGAACTGCTTAACTGTTTTCCTGAGGCAGTGTCAAGCATCAGTACATTGCTGTACTAGATGGCTTACTGTGGCGGGAATGTTCCGTAAAACACTCTCTAATGTAAGGGAGCCTACAGTGGAGGAGAGGCACTTCCTTCCCTGTGGAGGGCACACACAGGCCGCCCCACAACATCATCAGCACACATTGGTGTGTAGTGCTAGACCCAAAGCCAGTGAGGACCCGGGAGTCGGGAAGCATGCAGACAGAACAGTCTCAGTTTGAGAAATGCTTGAAACTCCAAGACTTCAAAATGATCAATGATGAAGTTAGGAAGCAGAAAAAATTTCAAGTATTTAATCCAACACAAAAGAAGGAGTTTTGGCAAGAACCATGTTTACTGTCGATTGCAAGGCCACAGCACCACATTCTACGTTCTTTCAGAAGCATTGGCTCCAGCGTTTAGCACTGGCTTTGTAAGTGACAACTGTCGTGACAGGGGTGCAAAGGATGTGAAAACAGCAGTCAGGGTGTGTGTACCCAGGGCATGGTAGTAGAAGCTGGACACACGGTTGGGAATGGGATATGCATAGCCTCCATGAGGCACCCACCAGCCTAGGAGGGGTCTGGTCTTCCAGCTCTGTTGTCAGTGCAGGCTGGGGGTGCAAGCTGCTCGTTTCTACATTAAATCCATCCTAGATCAGGTTAAATTTATCCAAGTAACTAATCAGAAGTACTGTGACTTTCTTCCCACCCTGGGAATGACTTATCATTTTTTCAATGTCCCCTGAGAATTCTGCCCTGATCTGTTTCTCCTCCGTCATTTTAAGTTGCTGGGTGGTGTGGTAATGACTCTTATTTTCACATCCTTTTAGAAAGACACAGCTGCAAAAATGCCTGAATGTAAACCGGATGCAAAGTCAGAGATTTACAAAGAAAAGGGTTCAGAGTGGACTTTGGCTTCATCAGATCAGAAACACTCTTAAAAAGCATTACAGACAGTGAGGATAGTGCAGAGGGCACATGTTGCTAGAATCTAGTAAATGCATGTGAAATTCTACCATAGAGTTTGTTTTCAATCCATGTGGAAGGGAGCGTGCGCGGGAGAGGAGCGTTATTACAGTCCACCAGGGGCGTCTCCTCTTCTGAGAGACCATCATCATAGAGCAGCGAGTCAGATGGGGTAGATGCAGCAAGGTCCAAATAGTCCTGGAAGAGAGAGATGGCCAGTCACCCTTGACCCTGGGCCACTCCTGGACACACCCCAGGCCCTTTGACGCCCACAGTGCAGAGGCTCTAGTTGCATTTTTCACCCTGCACTGGCCCTTGCCCTCTCTGCAAGACCAAAGCCCCTCATCCAGGAGGCCATTGCTGAGGAAAAGCTCTGGGGGCTGCCACACCCAGCCATGTCTACAGCCTGCAGCAGAGGGCTGGGAAACTAACCTGTTCATAAGCCTTCAGGCCTGGAAGAGCTCCTGCGGTCACATTACTCATGTGGAAGTGACCCTGCCATAAGCTTCCCTTCCAGGACCTCTGCCATCTAGAATATCACATCAGTATTAGGCATCTGAAAATATTTCACTATGTTGGTTGTGAACATGGTGCCACTACAGGTTTCAGCCCCGAGTATGACGACTGTCGCACGTGTGCTACTTATGCTACTCTGCTTCACATTGTGTGGAGGGTCCCAGCATTATCCAGCTGTTTCCTAGCATGTGTTTAAAGATGGTTGGCTCTCGTGGCATCTGCTATTACTTCTGCTCTGGACAACCCTGCACTCACAGGACCCAGAAGTTTTACCCAAGAAATGACAGTACTGTTAAGTTTTATCGTAGGGGGCCTAGATCTTATATCTGTTTTTTTGAGTCTGAGGGAAGGACATCTTTTAGAAAGTGTGAAGATGAAACCTCTGTATGGACAGTGTGAGGGCAGACGGGGATGGCCTTGCTTACTTCTGTTCCCAGCATTCAAGACAGAACATACTGTGTAGTGGTTGCTCAATAAATATCAGCCCCAAATTCATTGACTTGCTCATTTACTTACAGAGTTGTAAGTTGGAGGCACCCAGGCTGTTGGACCCTCAGACAAGGTTTGTTTGGCCCACACTGGGCTTTGGGAAATTAAAATGAGTTGTTAACAATAAAAAACTAGAGGCTTAAAATAAACCTCTTAAAACTCAGAAGACCTGGCATGCTGGGCTCCTATTCCTATAGGGCACACACAGTGACAGTGAAGGAGTCTTTAGAGGGGGATGAGCATCCCTGTGTGCCACAGTGCCCATCACTCCCTTGTCACTGCCCATCCCCAGATGGGCATATCAGGGCATATGCATTTAGGATATCCACTATTTTTTTCTCACATTCCAGAATTACAAGCAATCTCCTTTAGTTTTGGAATATTGCTTGCCTGTGGAGAACTCTTGCTAAGTGTCAAGCTAGGAGTCTGGTTTCTTCATGATTTGAAGTAAAGCCCAAGGGACCTGCTTGAGATGCAGAGTTTGGTCAGAATCTTGCCCCGAGTGAACACGTGACCTTCTCTCTGGCCAGCCCTACTTTGGCTCCGCACTGGAATTTCACTGGCCTAAAGCCACTGCCCTGGGGTGAGGCAGAACCCCCTTCATCTTTGCCTATGGGAAGCAGCTCCAGGACTCACTCTGCTCTTGACCATCATCTTCTCTAGGTCTTTGCTGATATCAGCAAATACTGGCCTCTTGTCTGGTTCCTGCTTCCAGCACTGCAGCATCAGACGGTACCTGGAGTGAAAAGTACACAGGGAGTGATGAGACAGCAGGGTCAGGTCTCACCAGGACCACATGCAGAGCTACCACACCCAGCACAGTGCTCTGGGACCAGGGGCTCTGTCCCCAAACCCCAAAGTGATTGCTGCATTGTTGACAACCCTCACTGGGGATGGGGGCATGGCATCCTGGAGGCTCCCTTCTCCCTGAGAGGGATAACTGTTCCTTTCCCTACAAAGACACTGGTGAACAATGGACTGAAGCTGTGTCTGCTATGGTGGCCAAGCAGGAAGTGCCAGAACTTAAAACTCTCATGAAGGAGGAACTGACAAAGGGCTGGTATGGAAACAAAACTTCTGGCAGTCATTCATGCCTCTGTCTTGTACCTTCCCTGCTTGAAGGGACACAGGTCCCTGTCCCTG